ATCAGGATATGCAGCTGAGACTGGGAGCTGAGCTTCACATCAGGAAGGACTGGAATCAGCTTTCCAAGCTGAAAGGAGGATAAAACAGTGTTCTGGTGAGAGATCCAAGGGAAGAGTCAGTCTGTTGATAGTCAATCTACTCATTGTGCTCTGAATGCTTTCCAGAACACCTGGAAGTATGTGATGTGTTTGCCCTCACAACTCACTATGGGGGGTCATAGGCAAGGAACCAAGGCACAGTGACTGTCTTCCTCAGGTCTACCATCCCCCATATTTCCCCAGCTCAAACCTGACCTTTTCTTCCCTTTAAGTCAGCTATCCCTATAGACCCACAGAGTGATGGGGAAACAAGAAACCTCATGGCTTTACCAAGGAGAGATGGTAGGAGTACTTTCTTTTGTCCCTGGTTGCTGGTACCTGAAATGCCACATCCACTAGAAACATGCAACTCCTGATGAAATCTGAAGGAGAATTGACCTGAAGGTTGAATGTGCTGACCTTTATTTATTTTGTTTACCTGTACTTCTTCCTGAGTAAAAAGAACTTTCTCATGATTTTCAGCAATGCATTTTGTTCGGTTCCCATTTTCTTCATCTCAATTACGTATTGACTTTTGTCACTTTAGATACAAGAAAATGAGCGACACCTTGATATGTCCATCCTGGTTCTTTACAGATTTCCAAGAAAGTTTCTGAAGAAATTGGGAAGGATTCCTTAGGCTTGTTTCAAAAAATGGAAAGTACTTGCAGCTTCCAGTAAGACCAGGAAGCAAACAGCATAGCCTAATTTATACATGAATTTCCAGTGCTGTGCTTTTTGATAAACCAGCTAGCTCAACAGAGCTAAGTGCTCCGAAAACCTCTAAAGGATGAACTCTGACTGGGAACCAAGGGCTTCAGTCTTCCACCAAGACCATCCCTGGAGTAAGTAACTTATTTCAGTGAATGCTTATGAAGTTCAGTCTCAACTTTACAAGTCACCTCAGTGAAGACCAAAGCTTAAAGCTACCCAAAAACCTTTAATTAGTACCTGGCTCCACACTGCAAGATCATGCAACTGATCTTTCCAATTATTTGAGCTCTTTGTGTACTTGCTCTGCATTGATGTCCAGCACATTGGGGTTCAGCTCTTAGACATCGAGTTCTTCAAACTTACGTTAACATTAGAAGTCACAGTATTGTTAATGTCTGCTGTTAAAACTTTGCCAAGACACAAAAACAAGTATGCCAACAAATTCAGGTCTGATGTGATTGTCTGAAATTTTCTCTAAGATCACCACATCCCTGCCAGACATCGCCACTTCTGTGTTTTGTTCCTTGGCCACCGTTCATTCCACATGTCATTCCAGGAGGGAGATGTTAGTGGACAGACTAAAAGGAAAGCATATGAAAGCAGTGTGGCTACATGCAGGAGCAGAGTGTACCTTTGCCATGGGACAGTGCAGCTCTTGCAAAATGCCATCATCAGTCTGAGAGAAGCAACCAAGAGCAGGGCAGTGCTTTCTTTCTAAGGAGTATGGTGGCTTTGCCTAAGTTCTCACTGGTGGTGACCTGGGCTGGAATTCAGCCTGTGGACTCACAGGGTCACAAGGGAACAATTTGGTTTCCTAAATATAGATGGCTTCTGCCATGTGAGATGACCCGGAGTATCCAAGTCATCCACAAGCACCTGGCAGACACCAGACCCGGATGACACTGGGTTTACAGGTGACCTGTGCCTTCGGGGTTCCTTAGCAAGATGCCAAGTGTGACATGACATGAAAAATATCATTATCTTTTATATTAGGCAACACTTTAATGGCTGGTCATCTGCATCACACCTAACCACTGCAAACTATCAACGTCTCCATTGACTGTCTTAGCTGCTGAGACAACTTGCTCACTTGGATAGACCCACATGCAAGGACCTTTTCAGGTGTTTGATTTGGCCACTGCACTGCAATCATGGGGTTCCATGTGTAGTTATTTCTCAATCTGCAGAGGTGATGACTGGACTGAGGGAAGTGTTGGGCTTGTTATTACTATTATGCATGAGAATCATTGCTGAGAAGCCTGGTGTTCTCTGGTGCAAAGCAGACCTTGGCAGTCTCCAGTTACAGGAAACATTTCCACATGCCTGTGCTAGGAAGCATCTCATTTGGTTTATCTCCCTTGCAGATGTCTACCTGTAAGCTTGTCAGCCTGGACATTGTTTTTTGCAATTCAGGTCTATCTAAACAGTCCAGGCAATGAGACTAGCACAGTATTCATCCTGCAGCTGGTACCTAAAACAGGGCAGATGAATCATGTCTTAAAAGCACCTGTTTCAGTTCAAAGACAGACATTTGTACTGGAGCCATCTGAAGCGAGGTGAGCTGGATGACCTCCGATTTCTGAACCACCCCTACTTTCACATGTGCAAATAAGTAAGGCAAGGCTGCAAGCACAGCGCAGGAGGGATCCACTGATGGGCACTGGAGCCCAGAGGATTGCTGTGGGTGGGAGCGAGCCCATCTGAACAGCTTGCTGTCAGCTGGAAGCCAGGCTCGGAAAGAGAACCAGATGGTAAGATGTGAGACCTAGATTAATAATAATATGAATGCCTGCTCTGTACAGAAGGCTTCTCATCAGCAGATCTCAGCATGCCTCATGGTCACCGGTGTCTGAGAAGTTACCTGTGATCACTCTGCAGATGAACAAGTCTCTGGAGTCCAAAGCCAAAATTGGCACCATGTGTGTCTGTGGAGTAGCCCAGACTCCAACCAACCTTCAAATGAATAATTTTGGAGTCATATCTGGTGGTTGTTTGGATGCAAATTCAAAGTCAGGTCTGGGACATGACTGTTCACATAGAGATAGCCTGAAGCACAATTGACGCGCCAAGAACAGCTTCATGCAGGGTTTCTCTCCCATGCCAAGCTCCTAGCCTTTGCCCTGCCTCCAATGTCAGGACCTGTCCTGCCATTTCTCTTCTGCCTGTTCTCCACCCTCCTTTCACTGCAATGCTTACTGCATGACTGGGGACTCGGGTCGAAAAGAGATGGCATTTCTTCTTGGAGAATAGGCTCTCCTTGGGTTGATCTGCTGTTTCTGAACTTCACCTTCTCACAGTGAGACACATAAAACTTTAGCACATCAGATGAAAAGCATCATTTAAAACCATCACAACCTGGAGGCCTTCACATATTCCAAAGCAGCTCTAGCCCAGGCTGCCTTGCCACTCGTGTCTCCCCTGTAGCCCAGCATTTCAGATGCATTTCCAACCAGCAAGAAGCCGTGACTGCAACAGCAGAACTAAAGCTCATTGCACAACTGCTGCAGCTGCACAGGCTCCCACAGCCAAGCACATGTGCAAAGGTCCTGTTGCACACCCAGTGTTCAGCCAAGGAAGGCACCCAGCAGCTCCAAGCTGGAGCTATGCAGCCAAGAGATCTGTCCAAGCCTGCTGAAAACCTGGCACAGTGGATGCAATACAGCAAAATGCTTTTCATCTGCTCCTTCATGCTTATTGATCAGAATATTAATAAAAACTTGTTCAAAGCTCCCTCGGCTTCCAAGATTGTTTGGGGATAGTCCAACCCTCCAGCCCCAGTCATGCTTGTAATGAGGGGACTCGGGGATCAAAAGCACTTTAAAATGGCCTTGCTAATCAATCATCAACAATTGGTTAAATTAAGCCCTGCAGTCTTTCCTTTGCAAGCAAGGGATCTGTCGGACATGTCTTTAATGGGCAGATTCCTATCCCTTTAATATTCCTTAATACCTTTCTAGAGGAAATGAAACCACAGGGAGACTTTGTTGGTGGAATGAAAGGAATGTAGATAACTGCTGGCCTCTGCTTTCTCACACATTGGGTTGAGAAACTCCTGCTGGACAAGGGATGTTGGGCACAGCTGGGGAATTTCCTTCCAAAGATCCTGATAACTCCTTTGGCCAGTGCCATTGCCAAAAGCAGGTGTTTGCTTTCCTCCTCATTGCCAAGCTAAGCCCTGTCCTTATTCATCTCTTCTCAGGATCGAGTCCATCTGTGCCTTCAGAGATCATGTCCTTCTGTGGTGAAGGCTTGTTTCCTAAAGGCCATCAGGAAGATGGGCATGCTACTCCCAGAGTAATGGTCCCAGAAGCAGATTCCTGTTAATAATTAACATGCAAAAGGCAATGCAAATGTCAGAGGAAAGTAAAGGAGCTTGGCTCATTTTGAGACTTTATTTGGACTATTAGAGTTTGTTTTTTCCATAGTATGAGGAATGGCTCATTTTCTACATCCCTCTGGGAGGCCTTTAATGAATCCCCTTGGGACAAGGGAGATGCCCTCTTTGTGTCTTCCTCTCTTCCTGTGGCACACTGTACTTGTGGTCTTTCATTGTAGGTCTTAATTGTGTTAGAAGGTCTTAGCAAGAGTTTTGTGGCCTGTAGTAAGTCTTGGCTATGGGATAATGGGTTCTGCGCCCAGAGATACCTGTCGCACCACTGTATCCCAACTTAAAAATCAAGATGCCAGCACTTCTTGGCAGCTTTCAAAATGCAGAGAACTTCTAAGCCCGGTAATTGTACCAGTCCACAAATTGTTTCTGTGTACAAATGGACAGGGCTTATGTGGAGATGAACACTGCAGCTCTGCTAAATTCAGGCGGCTTCAGAAGTGAATAATTTGAATGCTTTGGGCACTCCCTAGAAGATCACTAATTATATGAATAAAGCTATGTTGTTCCCACGTATTAGGATTACGCTGCTCTAAACACAGCGAGAAGAGAATCAGGCCTGGAGATTCATTATGGAGATGCTGCTCAGCTGGATGGTACACACATTGTAGGCAAAGGATTTCAGGGAGATTTAATTTCTCCAAAGGGAGCCCAGCTTGACAATGTTTTACCTCTTAAGTACGATTGCACAGCAATTAGCACATCCAGCATTTAGCACCCTGCTTTCCCCTTGGGAGCACGGGTGGGAGGAGGAGCAAATCCAAGTAGAAGAGCCTGGGCACTGGCAGGATCGCAACCACACGGGACCTGATCCATTCACCTCTTTTGAAGCCTCTATGGCACACTTTCCTCCACACAGACACCTAAAATAAAAGGGGATTTATGAGATTTTGTCCACAGGCAGCAAAAGCCGCTATCGATTACTGCAAGGCTCTTAAACGAGAGTAATTCACAACCCTATGCGATTCTGAAGGCAAGCTCTAATTTAGTATCATTATGTCTTCATGCCCCCACACATTCCACTGTCTCATTCACTGAGCTTTTATTGGGGTCTGGATAATTTATGGCTAGATATGCTGACTTTTATCTGACCTATTTTTAGCTATTCTTGCTTTTTACATATTTTTTTTCCTGCCATCACAACTGGCAATTAAAGTAAAGAGGGTTTCTTTAAAAAAATACGATAAAGTCCCATCCAGCTTTAAGCTTTATTTCTTCTCTTTTATGTGCTGGAGAATGCATTTGTTATTACCACAGCTTTTTGAGGGCAGGAGTTCATGATAAAAACACTTCCCCCTGATTTTATTTCTTTCCTTTTTTCTTCCAAAGCATATGACTTTGACCCAGAATCTCCACCAATGACCCTGCCTGGGTTTCACAGCCGCAGAGTACTCCCAGCTCACTCCAGTTCCCATCTGTAACTGAAGTCCAAAAACTTTGGGAGCCTTTTCCTACCAGGATTCAAGTGTCCTCTGTTCTCAGCAGCTTCAAAGGAGATTGTTGATGGACACTCCTCAGCTTCGGACCCCAGAGTTTTCAAAGCATTTTGGTGCAGAGAGAAAAGTTTTAACGTGGGGACTATTTTTGTATATATTTTTTTAAAGAATGTTTCTTTTCTAATAATATAAATTTAAATAATATTTTGTGTTTATAATTTAATTCCATATTCATAAATATTCTATATATTCTATTATAATAGATTACATACTGCATATGCCATGCACACCATACATAATTTTATTTACAGCTAAAGTGTTATTATTTAAATGTTTTATATTTTTAATGTTTCAGACATTGGAATTATTTATTGGAAAAAATGAGAGAAATGAAAGAAAGGTTTCAGACCTAGAAGGCCGAAGATGTCCTTGTGCCCTTGAGCCTTTGTTTGCTTTTTCCAGTAATAACAGTTGATCAGCCTTTTAAAAAAAGAGCTCGGACCCTCTAGGTAGCTATTTTTTGTGATGTTTGGGTTAGAAGTAAGGCCACAGGATGGTGTAAATCAATCCCATTGACTTCAAAGCTATTATTTCCCAAACTTTTTCCACTGAACAGTTTGGTCCATGAAATCTCTCTCAAGGAGAGATGCCTGGGCCTTTGCTCCCAGACTGTGGGTCTTGGGCACTGCATCTCCATTATTTCACTTGTGTTCTCCAGGAATAAGCCAGGGGTTTCATGGGCTGGGATGTCCAGCCAGCAGCTAGCAGGGTTGGCAAGTGGAGTGTGGTGACATTGCTGTGGCATTGAGGGAGCAAGCTCTGCTACTGCCCTAGGGAGCCCAGGAATGGACAGATAGAAAAGAGCAGTTTGGCATCAGCTAAGGATACCATCTAATCCCTGCAGTGAGAGACTTGCACACTATGGCTGAAGATGGACGCTGTCTAGAAACACAAAATTTACCACAGGACAGGGAGATTTTGCTGGGATCCAAATCATGTGCAAGGATTTGGCATTTTTTGCAGAACTCATCATGCAGACTTTCCAGTGTCTTGCCTTGGTGGAGCTCTAGGCACTCAGAAATATTTTGTTTGGTTCAGGACTTTAGACTGGTTCCTCACTGCCCCCTTCTTCAGCTTTTCTGTTCACTCCCCACCTCTGAAAATGGAGGCAAACCCCAAATTCTGGAATGCCTCACTCCAACCCTCCCATGTTAACTCTCAAAAAGTTCTGCTATTCTGATGTTTTTCTGCTGTATTTCAGACAAATGTCATTGTGGTAATATTTTCTCCATAAAACAATTCCAGTTTCTGGACGTATTTTTAGACATATATTGTTCACAGCTATTAGATCGCTACCATTTATTTTCCCCTCTGCATTTTTGGTGAGATTACCTTGTTTGATTTATGAACATATACATAGCATGGTGTAATACTGTAAATATTACTTGTAATTGACTGTGCTACTGATATAAATATTGTAGATGAATAGAAGATTGTGAATTGGATATACTGAACTTATGCAACTTCCAAAGTGTCAAAACCCCATCACTTGACTATCCCCAAGTTTTTGGTGAGCCATGGGCTGAGACTGCCAGAGGTGACTGCCCTGTGCCATACCCCTGGGTGTGCCAAGTGTCCTGCGGGGATTCCTCATTCATCCCAGCCCTATGGAGGAAAGCGATGGATGCTGTGTTGATGTTCCGTATTAGAGCTGCACAGATTCACCAGCTGCATTCCCACACATAACAATGATGACAGGGCCGCTAATGAGAACCAAGGATCACGAGGTAGATTTCCCCCACCTCCCCAGCCAACATGAAAAATCATAAGACTGGATTTGGAAAAAACCACAGGGTTTTAGAAACCACGCCTGTTGGTTGTTTTCACAGATGAGTTTCCTTCAAGCAGCTTTCCCCGCTCATGAGGAGATACAATTATTTTAGTTTATGTTTTGGTTAAGAAGGAAAAAGTCCCTAAACTGCTGAATAGCCACTGGGCCCCAGGAGCTGGGGCTTTTGAGTAGACACTACAAGAGGGCATGAGTAGAAGGTAAGTTATGTAGAATATACCATATGTTTAAGCAACACAGCAGGTCTCTCACCACTCTGCACATAAAATATAAAACCAAAAAAAATTATAACATAAACACTGTAATCCCACAACACAGAAATATGAAGAGGAAAATACATGGCAACTGCTTACTCTTGCATCTGCCTGCTTACTGTGTTTGCCTGGCTGCAAGACACACTACACAGGCTATTGTATCAGGTGTACATGCTCGACTGGCAGGCAAAATCTTGCCTATCTGGAATACACAACAAAATCACCATAAATAAATAATACACTTTAAAAAAGAATATAGCCTTAAGTCATCTGATACCATCTGATTAGAGCAGCCAAATGCTGTATTTAAAGGGGAGAAAAAATGGCATTTTCTTGCTGGAGATAAAGGGGAGTTACTTGGGAGACCATGTTAGGGGAAGCTCCCTAGCAGTGGCTGCAATTGCTGCAATCTGTGCTCTGCGGAAAGCTTATAGACAAATAAAAGGGAGTGAAAAACTGGTGTGCACCTGTCATCAACAGGATTGCTCTTTTAGGTTATATGGTGCTTTTCTGCTAGATTGTACTGGCTCTTTTCGTATACATGATGTTTGCCTTCTAGGTTATATGGAGGTGCAGGGGCAAGTGAAGCTGTTGCACTCCAGCATCACTCAGAGATGGCAGTTACCCAGAACACTAAAATTACAGTCATGGGTGATACAACAGGTCCAGGCCTGCTATGTGCCCTGAAAGCACTTTTTTGGGTGCTCCAGTTGGCAGGACAGGCTGGTAGCAGGTGCTGGGGTGGGGGAAATGGAGTGGTTTGGGTTCATGCCACATGCAAGAAGCAGGCTCACCCTGCATGGCAGCCAGGCTGGGAGACTTGTGAGCAGCGTTTTACTGGAAATCAGCCCAGGTCAGATAACATCAGGGGCAGGAGGAAGGTTAGGCTGGCCTCACCACTGTGATAACTGCACACGCGCTCTTCAGGGAGAGGAGGTCTACCCCCTCGCACCCTGTGCCAGCCTTTCTCAGTTGGGCTAACCACAGCCCATAAATTAACTGGGCATTTTATTACTTTTTAATTAACAATGCACTTGTATACAATGTACTTAGATACCTAAAAATGGTATAAATAATGAATGCGAATGGCAGCAATTTATCAGTGCAGCAAGATTTAGCTGGATCAGTATTGATCCCTCTTTATAACTACATTTTCTTACAGGCAAAAGATAACATATTTCATACTCATGGAGTGATTAATTACTCCTCAAAGTAAATCAATACTAACCGCCCAAGCAATATAACCCATTAGTTGTTTTTAAAACAAATCAACCAATGTGATCTTCTCAGAACTGATTTTGGAGGGTTATTTACATTTCTAGGTGTTAGTAATTTGTGACAAAGGCATCTTTGGCACTGAGAACAAGCACTTCATTAACTAATTTGGCTTACAAAGCAGCTCAGTGGCTGGTATAGTTCATTGAAAGTTCAGATTTAAGCTGATCAGAAATGCAATTCTTTTAAAATTTGAAGTGAATCAATCAATTAATAAGCAAAAAACTTGCTGAAGAAAATATTTGTTTCAGCGGGGAACTAAGAGGTTTTTTTCAACTTTGAGAGATTTTAAGTACTTGTAAAAGATAAAACTGAGGCTATGTTAAAAACAAGAACGTATTTGTGAGTTATTTTTGCTTGATTTTAGAATCCTGAAATGAAGCTCTCCATTGGACATAATTCCTACAGGCTCTTTTATTTTTAATTATTTTTGGGCAATTCAGCAGAAGCTGATGCAAATCCACGCAGCATTTCTGGATAGCTGAATTCCCTTCTTTTTTTTTCTAAAAAAAGGTTTGGCTAAGAAAACCAGCACTACAATTTAGATGTGTTTGAATAAGAGAGAGGAGAACCTTGTGTTCTTTCCTCCGAAAGTCTTCACTTGCTTTGTGCTGAGGATATTATTAGGACATTGCTGTCCTATAGGAAAAATCCTAAACCAAGCTCAGGCCTTACTGAACCCCTTTGCAAAAGGAGACTTTCTTTAAAGTGCCTTTGCAAAGGGAGACTTTCTTTAAAGCTCAGGAAAAAGGACGGAATTGAAGGGGAGGAGAGGACAGACCCATCTCTCTGCAGAGCAGCAGCAGAGCCATGTGCTCCTGTCACAGCTGGACTGCACCTCATCTAACATCAGGTACCTGAAAGCTGCCGTGTGCCTCTGACCAATTTGCCCCAGGCTCCCTTTGATCAGAGAAATAAAATGAACACTTTTAGGAAGAGGATTTTCTGCCCTAAATTGGGTGATAGATTTACGCTGAAAAGAAACTCACCCTGGGCTTGTTGACCATGGAGGCAGCCCAGTGTGATCAGTTCTGATGGTAATACCAGCACTTGACAGGGTGACCTCCGCTCGTAACACTGATATCTTTGTTCCTGTTCAAGTTTGCTCCTGAAATGCCCATTCTAATCCTTGGTTTTACCAGCATGACTACTTACACTGAGCTCAGTGGGAATCACATCTGAAAATAACTCATCCAACTTGAGCTGTCCAGGGGAGTGAGAGATGGTGCTCACCACCTTCAGTGCCACTGCTTCTGCAGGTCAAGCATGCAGGCAGGCAGTGCTCTGCTTAATCTTGTCAAGCTTCCTGGAAATTTATGCTACTGCAGTGTAAAAGCCCATTTCTGCTGTCCCTTGAGGCATGAGGAATGACTGCATCGAGAAACCACAAACTGGGCCCTGCTCTTCCAGAAATATTTGGTTGTTTTGTGCCAGGTGACACAAAAAGCTGGGGGTAAGAGGAAAGGGATGGTTGTTCAACATCTCATGTCAGCACTAGGGAAGGGTTTAGAGACAGAAGAGGAAACCCATAGCCAAACTGCAGGTAAGGCTATGTGCCTGGTTCCATGTTTGGAACCAGGAGCAGCAGATGGAGCTGCTATTTGCAGCTCATCTCTTCTGCTCACTCAGACCTTTTATCTGGGAATGCCTTCAGCAAGCTCCTAAGCTCTGGATGAGTTAGAGTCTATCAGCTAGAGAAACACCCAGACATGATTTAAAGGCTTCGCACACAGGTTCTAAGGAAGCACTTTCACTGGTTAATCACTTGTGCTGTTAAAAATTCTGTCTTATTTCTGCTTCCAATTTTTCTGGTGTTAGCTCTCATCCGCTAGTCACTGCCCCCACAAGGTTAGAGAGCTACCTGTTCTCAAACATCTGCTCTGTACACAGACACTGCAGACATTAAATATTAAGATATTAACTAATTCTAATTTTCTGTTAGATAAGTCTCGTGGACTGAACAACTTAATTCTTCACTCCTTTTATGGAGCAGATGGCTGCTTACAGTCTCAGAGGCTTGGTTTTGGTTCTCTCCTATGGGCTAGATGCACATTTAGCACTTTTACAGGATGCCAAACGGCTGGAGTCCTTGGGGTTTTTATGTCAATGAAAATCTTGAGCCCCAAGTAGGATGAAGGACACCGTTTTCACAGCCAACCAAAAACTTGAGGTTTTTCATTTGTAAAATTAGCAAAAGAAGCCAAAGGTCTGAGGTTAGGAGCCAGTTTCCAACTTGTCCATCTGAACTGGAAGATTCCAAGTACAGCAGCCTTTGAGACCAACTATGATTTATATTCTTCTTCAGGTTTCACTCTGCAACTTCAGGACTAGACCATCCATAAACTTCTTCTGTGGCACCATGACAACCTGTTGATCCAGCCTTGATGGTGTGTCCGAGGAACCCCCAAAATGTGAGACAGCCCTTTCCGTTGGGGTTGTGAAAGGGAAATGTGATAT